ATGAACATTGAAGAGCAACATGATGGTAATGCAAACACTGTGGAAGAGAGGAACATTATCGAGGAAGAGTCAAACACCAAAGACAGATATATAAATAGTCTTGCAATCATGTTCTCCATTAAAAATACATAAAGTCTAATAATTTACAAAAATATGTTTAAATAGTCTTGCAACATGTTCTCCATTAAAAACTGAAGGTTCTGTTTGGGTAAGTTATATTTTTTTTATTGAAATTAAAATTATTTATATTATTTTAGTATCTCACTTTTTTTTTTGACAGAAATCATGAATGGAAGCCTAGACAACATGGAAGTTGTAGAACCTCCAAGTCAGGGAAAAAAAGATAAAAGTAGTCAGCTATGAGGAACTTATAGTGCTCTACTGCAAACAAAAAAAAAATGTTGACGAAAAATTACATAAGTGAGATACAGTTATGATTTAGGCTTGTAACATCAAGGGTTATGTGACGTCATTCAAGTGCAATAAAACCACTATTGAAAGAAGAAAATAAAAGATCACGGTTTGAATTTCGCTTGTCAATCCGACATTTAAAAGTACGCACAATATTGTTCATATGGATGAGAAGTGGTTTTTCTCTAAAAAAAAACTGAGAATTATTATTTGTTGCTAGATCAGAGGAAGAACCAAACCGTATTTGTAAAAGCAAAAATTACATTGGAAAAGTTTATGTCTCTAACTGCTCAAGCTCAACCATGATTTGACACATAAGGAAATAAAAGCAATAACTTCGGTGAAGAGAGAAGTCATTAGATTGTAGTCACATTTCTATTAAAAATATTGGTTATGTCGAAACCTCTATTTTTATTTCAGTTAGCTATTCTTATTTTTGCTAATGATAAATGCATGTTTGGTATATGATTGAATGTGCTTGATAGCAAAAATCTGGTTTGTTCTTATTAGTTAAAGAAGACGACAGAATTAGGTGTTAACTCATTACATATGCATGTTTAGTATGTATACACAATTAGGATGCAAACACACAATGGGCACTGTTAGACAAATTGCATAGACAGCCACAACTTCTGTCCTGTCAATTTATATTTATTATATTTATTTTAAATTTTAAAATAAAGTATCAATAATTATAAAGATAATCTTACCTCACAATTAATATATCTAAATATAATTTATTTATTTCAAAATATTTATTTATATAAATTTTAAATATAACTAGTAATTTAACTTTTGCATCATATAAGTCAAATTCAATATATATAACTGTAATCAATTATTTATATCATATAATTAAATTCTTTTTAATATATAATATATGAATATAGATAGAAGATGATTTTATAGGTGATGGTTTAAGATAAAAAAATATTGTAATAGATGAAATAAGATAAACAAATAATATAATATAGATATAAGAGAGAAAGGTCGAAGAAATAACAGATTTTCTGTTACAATTTTCGTTAGAAAGAACTCAAGAGGGGTGGTCTCTAGATAAATAAATATAAACAAAGATTTCATTAAAGATAATTAATTAAAAGAAGAAAAAAGATAATAATGAAAGATGAAAGAAGATTTTAAATAAATATAAACAAAGATTTCATTAAAGAATTAATTAAAAAGAGAAAAAAGGATTATGGAAGATGAAAGGATATTTTAAATAAATATAAACAGATTTTATTAAAGATAATTAATTAAAAAGAGATTATGGAAAATGAAAGGAGATTTTCAACCGTTAACTAATATTTTAGTATATACAGTATATATATATATATATATATATGTTAAATATTTATTATATATATATATATATGTATATTTAAAATAAATTATGTATATAAATAAATACTATGTTTGAATATATAAATTATCAGGGCTGGATATTCAATAAAGCAATTAAGATCAATACCTAGAACTCCCAAATTTATAAGGCCTCCAAATTTCTTTAATAGTAGTATTATTTATATAAATTAATTTTTTAAAAATTAATCATATTTGAGATAAGGCCCAATATTTTATAAGACACATATCTTATATTTTTATATTTCTTATTTTCTTATTATTAAAATTACTTAAAAGACCATAACCCATTTATTAGTTTTTGTAAATGAAAAGTTACTCAACACTCAATAGTCACTACTACTTCCTTTTGTTTTTTATAGATGATAGATTTTCAACTTCTTTGCTTCCTCTCTAGTCTATCTCTTTCTCATTCTCTTTCCATTCTCGTTCTCAATTTATTTTTCGCGTCTAATTTGAGAGCTTGATTGGGAGCAATATGGTCCTACTCTGCCTCTTTTCTGGGTTAATTCCTACTCTATAAGATCCTTAAAACTACTAAGTTAGTATAATTCTGGGTATTGGTTCAATAACATCAACGCATTTTCTTAGTTATCACTATTAACAATCCATTGTAGTGCACTTCTTACATGATATTGCATTGTGAATTATTCATGGGTCATCCTGGGGATCATAACCACATATTCTCCTTTATTGAAATTGAAGTTTGTCATTGTGACAAGATTTCTTCTTCCCATGATTTCTTGCATGTCTTTAAAAAGCCAAGATCAACCCTTCTAAAACATTGTAAATTAATTATTAATGCATGAGAAAAAATAATTTAGTACAGTACTTTTATTTACAAATTACAATTTTTAGATCTCATTTTTTTTTATTGTTTATCATTATAGGTGCACGCAAAGTGATTGTCACTACGGGTTTGATTTTGGATACTCATAGCTGCGACAGTGCATAGTCATAGCTTAAAGAAATTTTCATTCACAGATAATTTTTCCCTTTCTAGGTTTTATTGTTTCATTATTATCTTCTTTTAATTTTAAAAATTATTTTTCTTGTTATTTTTATTTTAGCCAATCAGTAAAATATGTCAAATAGAGCCTAAGAAATGGCTATTGAAATGGATATAGAGCCTAAGTTCAATGAAAATTGTAAGATTTATAGGAAAAAAATATTTTGATGACATTGATAATGATGAGATAGCTCATTCTGCAAAAGATTTTTTTGCATTAATTATTTTTTGTATATATTAGGTCAATCTATTTCTTCTATTTAGAGTTGATTTGAACAATTTATAGAATATAAAAATATGATTTTTTTAAAATTTAAAACTTGAGGGGAAGATGAATTGTAAAAATATTGTATCAATCTTGAAAATATTGAGTTTTGAGGATCATTCTGATATTGATGGTCTTGATTTATTTTCAGAATTAAAGTTATTGAAAGAAATTCTAACAAATGAAATTAACACACCAATAAAAATATTGAACTATATAAAAAGATCATGTTCTTTTCTAAATACATACATTGCTTATAGAATATTATTAACATTACTTGTAGAATATTATTAACTACTGTGACTACTGAAAGAAGTTTTTCAAAATTAAAATTGATTAAATCATATTTAAGATCAACTATATTACAAGATAAATTGAATGAGTTAGCTATATTATCTATTGAGAGTGAGGTGTTAGAATTACTTGATTATAAAACTTTAATAAATAATTTTAGAAAAATAAAAAAATTATTAAGTTATATTAACATAGACTCCTATCTTAATTTTTGCCTAAGGCCCTAAAATTCCTAGATACAGCCCTGTAAATTATATTTAAAATTTGAATAAATAAATATTTTTAAATATATAAATTATATTATAAATTTACGATAAATAATTTATATTGTGACACAATTTTTTTTATTTGTTTATAATTTATTTTAAAATTTTAAAGCTTAATTCATAAATAATTATGATAAACAAAAGACTAAATTGTAATTTTGGTCTCTTCATTTTCATCAATTCGTAATTTTGATTCCTCTGTTTTAAACTAAAAATATTTAATCACTTTGATATTATAATACGAAATTTTAATCCTCCCATTAAACTAAAAATATTTAATCACTAAATATTGCATCACTTAAGTAATGATAAATTAACAAACAATGTCAAAATTTAATGATGAATGAATACCAAATTGATGGAAGGATCAATTTTCCATATTTTGACCTAAAAGTTAAAAGTTAAAAGTTAATGAAAATAAAGAAACTAAAAGTGTAATTTAACCTAAACAAAAATCAAATTAGATACAAAGTTAAAAAAATTTCTAAAAATCTTTTGGTGGAAGAAAAGTCCCTAAAAATATTTTCATGCAATATAGTTTTGTGTTTTATATATTACTAGAATTTTAGCATATGTAACGTACATGCATATTTATTATATATAATAAAAATTTATAATCAATTATGTATATAAATAAATATTATATTTAGATATATAAATTACATTTAAAATTAATATACATAAATATTTTTAAATATATAAATTATATTTTAGATTTATAATAATAGTTTATATTATAAAAAAATTTATCTTTATTTTTTGATAATTTATTTTAAAATATTATTATTTAATTCATAAATAATTATGATAAAAAAATTGAATTAGATAAGGGACTAAAAAAAATCTTACAAATTTTCTCGTTGAAATAAACTCTTAAAAACACTCTCACATAATATATAGGTTCATGTTAAAATTGCATAACAAAATTAAAATTAGATATGAAGATAAAAAAATTCCTAAAAATTCATTCGTTAAAGAAAAGTCTCTAAAAAAATACTTTAGCACAATATAATATTTAATACTTTATATATTATTTTTTAAGAATTTTTTTTACAGCTAAGCGAGAATTTAATTAAAAATACATCTATTCCCAATTAAATAAATTATATTTAAATAGATTCGTAGTGATAAGACCGTTATCAACTAATAGATTTTTGTGTTTTTGCCAATTTTAATATATGTATTTGTAATTTTGATATTAAAAATTTGAATTAATATTCTGGCAGTAATTTAAAATAAATTACGTTGAGACTTTGAAACGAAAAAAAGTCCCGCCGTTGTGTGTCTTATAAAAGCAACAAAGTGGAGCGATTGCAAATTCACCTGCGACTGTGACTGCGACTGCGACCATAATTCTTGTGGTTCTTTGCCATTGTTTACAATGCAAAACACAATGTCCACAAACAGTGACAGTGAGTCATTCTCACCCAATCTACTTGCCATCATCGTTAATCAATATCTCTTGGACAACAACTTTTCCACCACCCACTCCTCCTTCTCTAAAGACGCTCTCTCTCTTTTGGTTAACACTCAGGTCCCCTTCTTTTCTTTTTTCTCTTTTCCTTCTTACACACATCAATCATCAATCACAATTCTTCTCCCATTCTCAAATTGATTTTTATATTTTTATAATTTTAATATAAAAACATATATATTAATATTTTAGATATATATTTTGATTTTTTTCTCTTTTTCCTTTCAAGTAGAGATAAGTAGTAAAACATATGTTTCTAAAATGATGAGAATAGTTTCAGTGACTAGAATATACACTCAGACTCAAAATATACATAAGGTTCTTGATCCAGTAGCAATTTTCAAATTTTGATTTTAATTTTACTGTCTTATAGGCTTCGGAGCGTTTTCTAAGCTTGGAGAAGATGTTGGATGAGTATACATGCTTGAAGGAACATAAGGCATTACTGGATCAAGAAAGGGTAGCAGTAATGCAAGAGAGAAACAGGAGTCAGATTCTATTGCGACACATTCAGAATGCCATGAACACGCACAACACTTTTCCAAGGCCACCCCCACCGAATGTTGCCGTGATGAACGCAAATAATGCAATGGTTCCTCAACCAGGAGCTTGTTCCCAAACTCATCCAGGTACATGAGGATGAAAAATAGGTCATTATTGAATGTTCTTGTTTTAATTTTTAAATGTTGGTTGTGATCGGTTTCAATGTGGTAGCCTGATTTGCAGTCAATTTTCTGCAACTTTGATTATTAAAATTGCAACTATTTAAAACTGTTTAAGTTGTGGTAGGAGTCAAGGTTATGGATGTTCTTATTTTAGTTATGTATATTATGATGACTTCAAATTGAGTTGTGGATTAGTTTGTGGATGCATTATTGTAATTATTTATGTGGGTAACAATATTGCATGAAAATTTGTTGAAGCGTAAATTTGATTTTGGATTTTATTTGTTAATTGAAAACTCAATTTTTAGAGGCCTAAGATCAAAATCTAAAAGTTTTATCTAGAAAAATATTTTTAGAAAATATTTATAAAATAACATGTAAAATTTTCTAAAATATGTAAATAACTTTGGATATTTAAAAAGATACTCTAAAAAATCGTTTGTATTTATTAAATTAAAATTATATTGACAAAATCCTAAATGTTGATTAGGGATAATATCTTCAATTTTATATCTAGTAAAATCAAGAAGTGGTCAATTATACACATAATCTCTTTAAAAAAAAAAAAAAACCTTATGGTCTTTATTATAGTTTTATTCCTACAAAGTTTAGCTGCAACGCAGTCATGGTTTCAAACTAGAATTTAAAACATGTCATAAGTTTTGATCAAAGAAATATCTGTTATTTAAAGAACAAAGTTTAGGTTCAATTTGAAACCAATTTTTCTCTAATTTTGATTATTAAAACTGTTTAAATTGTGGTAACAGTCAACGTTATGGATGTTATTGTTTTTAGTTATGTATGTTATGATGACTTCAAATTGAGTTTAGGTGTTAATTTGTGGATGCATTGTCATCACTTAAGTCGATTACAATAGTATGAAAGTTTAGTTGCAATGTAATTGTGGTTTCAAACTGGAATTTATAATATGCCATAAGCTTTGAGCAAATAAATATCTTAATTACTTTAAGAACAAAGTTTAGATTTCAATTTTTTTTTTTGTCACTTATAAATGACTGATAAGAAAACTTGTATCAGTATTAGGAGGTTGATGTTTACTTAGGGCCACTTACTATTGTATTTGACATGTGTAAACTAAATTTATCAATTAATAGTTGAGTTCACCATAACGTATTTAGGATAAAGTTTCAATTAAATTGAAAGGTGACTTGTCCATCCACTTTTCAGGTTGTCTTAAGATGTATTAACATTGCTATATGCTTTGCCTTCTTAGGTGTTTCTACCGTTAGTACTACTCCTCTTCCTTCGCCAAATGTGTTTAATATAATGTCACTACCCATGCCTGTCAATACCAATGTGGGAACAGGAAATTTGTCTACACCCATGATCAGTGCATCTGACAGGAAGAGAAAAGATAGTGAAGCAGTGGGCCTCCCAGCTGCTTCAAAGAAGCCTCGTGGTAGACCTCCCGGTAGAAAAAATAATGTTCAAGGTATTGTCTCCTAGGTGGTACATCTATTAAGTATATGCTAGGTTTTCAAATTGTCATCAGTTACAGTTTTACTCTCCATTCTCAGGTCAAAAAATACTGTTAAGTAATGTTGTCCATAATGAAGTAGCTTTTCAACTCTTTTTTTGTAGGTCAATCATCAGTCGTGAAGGGATCCGAGGTTCAAGGATCCAGTGTTGCCAAATGCTTGTTGAATCAACATTCATTTTCTGTTCCAATCAAATCACCAGAGACACCTCCAGCTCCAGCTCCCAGGGCAGATTCTTCTCCCAGTGGTACACATGTTTCTCCTATCAAGACTTCTCCAGTGAAAACATGTAATGCGGATGCTACTCCCACTGTGATTTCAATACCGAAAGTTACAGTTAACCCTTCAAAAGAAATGGCTTATACAGAGGGAAGTAGTTGCATTTCTCCTGTCAAAGGTGACTCAGACAAAGCAAATGAGAGGGATGATGTAAGGAGCACATTGGATAATGTTGACACTTCTGACAGGCCTCAGAGCTTGGACAAACCATTTTCTAACACTGCTGACATTGATTCAAGTGATATAGATTTCTTTTTAGAAAACATTGATTTTTCTGACCAACCATATCCAACTTGGTTATCTAATATGTATACGAAGTAAAAATGCTTCTTGTTTTTGAGTATTCTGCAGTTTGTACATATTACGATTTGTAATTTGATTTTTAATTTTATAATTTTTTTTTAACTTAAATATGATTTTAATCCTTCAAATTTAAAAAAAAAATTATAATAGTATTTAAGTATATATAAGGTCTATTTTTTATATATATTTTTGTAAAAATTTATAAATAATTTCTTTTTTATTTTATCTATCAAAATATTTTAATTTAATGTTATATGTTTGCTTTTTATTACTTTTTCAATGATTAAAAAAATGTCCTTAATATTTGACATGATTCATGGAAGAATTCAATGAAAGCTAAAAGTTCATCTAAAACATCTATAGTCATTACTGAAAAATAAATATCCTGATCAAATCAACAACTTCCAGATGTTTTTAATGAATGAAGAGATCAGTTTTTTTATCATACAATATAATTTATATTAAATTTTACTGATATACTTTTAAATATCGAGAGTTACAACAAGAAAAGGTCCCAACATTTTGATAAAAATAATGAATATTAACATACTAACATCACTTCAAATGTGATTTAAAAAAAAAGTTTATTATAATATATGAAAAGGTAATTCTACATTTTAATCAATATTTTTCTTTTATCCTATATTCAATAAACTATAACTTTACATTTAGCTTATATTTTTATATAGAATAAATCACATTATTCTCTCTAAATTCTAAATTCTAAACTCTAAACACCTAATTGTGTCATCTTCTTTAACTTATGAACACACTAGTCCTATTTTCAACCAAAAGCATGATATTTTTATAAGAAAAAACCATATTTTTATAAGAACAAACTATATTTTTGTTATGAATAAGAATAGCTAGCTGAAATAAAAATAGAAGTTTCGACAGAGCCAACATTTTTAATAGAAAATGTGACTACAACCAAATCGAAATAAGTATCAACTAGTATTTAAGTAACTGATAATTTTTCCACTAAATTTTGGCCATTTTCCTTTTGTAGTCACTAGGACTTATTACTCGATAAAAAAAAAAAAATTATCTAATGACTTCTCTCTTCATCAAAGTTATTGATTTTTTTCTCCTTATGTGTCAAATCATGGTTGGGCTTGAACAATTAGAAACATAAACTTTTCCAATGTAATTTTTCTTATAAAAGTACGGTTTGGTTCTTCCTCATCTAGCAGCAAATAATAATTCTGTTTTTTTATTTTTATTTTTTTTGAGAAAAACCACTACTCATCCATATGAACAATATTGTGCATAACTTTAAATGTTGGATTGACAAGCGAAATTCCAACCGTGATCTTTTATTTTCTTCTTTCAATAGTGATTTTATTGCATTGGAATGACATCATATAACCATTGATCTTACAAGCCTAAACACTAAAGTTAGGTTTATATTCAGGGCACATGCTAAAGATCGAATGGTTGTTCGTTGATGCAAAGGGGTTTCACGAATTTGATCCAGATCAATTTGAATTCTCGTGTCCACTCCACAATTCTTCCCCTTCCTTTGAGACACATCCTGCATCTCGCTTTCCTTGTCTCGTTTACAAACGTTGAATAAACAGAACAGTTCTCACGGAAACTAAAAGCCACCATAACACTGTATCTTGCTTATGCAATTTTCCGTCAACATTTTTTTTATTTTTTTTGCAGTAGAGCACTATAAATGGTTAAGTTCCTCATTGCTGGCCACTTTTAAAAATGTATCAATATGTCATACCTTCTTCATGTTTATTTGTCTTCGGTGTTTGAGAATATGAAATTGTATTGATATCAAAAGCAAATTTGTCTTCTACACCAATATTCAAATCTATGTCAGATAATGTATCATTTGAAGCCATGATTGTAGAGTAAACATTGAATCAGAATTATATATACCGTCCAATATGATTACTATCCATTAAGAGGTTGACCTCTTTGAAAAGATGTTTTACACACAAATCCAAGAACTAAACTCCTATTCATATATTCACGATACAAAATTATCTATCAACCATTTCATACTATATTTGTATTTATTAAGAGAAAATATATAAAACAACTTGACTCTTATTGCAAGTTAGTGGCTAACAATTACATAATTTTTTAATTTCCTAATTTTTGTAACAGTTTTGGATATACCATCTAGTTCATATTAACTTATTGTCGGTGTTGGTAAGCAATTAGAATAATGGAAACTGGAAAGATAGGAAAGAAATTAGGGATAAATTTCCATTTATCTCCTTATCAAGTGTACTAAATTATACAATTGTAAGTAGTTTAATGATAAATATGAACATCGTCTCATAAAAGATTTACGTAATATTTGACAAAAATCACTAATTATGCTAAACTGAGCTATCAAAAATGAAAATATTGATTGATTGCACGAAATAAAGTGCTTGAATATAAATAAATGTTATAAAAAGTCTTTTTGATATTTTTACAAACACTTAGAATACAATAATTAATTTTAACACAATAATAAAATATCTTAGAATTTAACTTCAGCAAACCTTATTCTCATATTTACAAACAAGTTCAAGCAAATTATAATTTAAAATTTATCAATCACTCACAAGTATAATCAACCCTAAATTCCTTACAAGTTGGAACTTGAGTTCTTTGATTAATTTATCAATTCCTTAAATAACTTCACTAAGAAACCAACTTTAAAAATAAGAACTTAAGAAAGACTAATGACATTTACTTCATTCCTAGAGATAAGCAGCATTAGTTGCTCTACTTTAGTTTAAATGTTCACAGGTATTTTCCAATCATTTTAAAATCCAAGGTTCAAGTTAAGGAAGATCAAACCATAACAAGTATTAAGTAAAGAAGATAGCGTAATAAAATTGAAAAAAAAGCTAAGATTATTAACTTAGAAAATATACATGGAAATGAGTTAGGTCACATCAAACTACAATATGGGAGAGTTTAGCTATACATAGACACATAGAACACTATAAATGGTGAAAAAAAGGAAAGGCTTGATCTTGAAGGTTAAAGAGTTCTCCAACTATCACACTCTCTCTCCAAAAAAGTTTATTTAATGATTGCCCTCAAACATCCCCCATTTAGGTTATAAAACCTTTTTTCTCATCTCAATATGTTATGTCAGCAATTCTAGCGTTAAGCTTTAATTTGCATGCTTAACGTAAGACAAAGATCAACTAGCACAAAGCCCATGGGATTATGACACTAAGCATGGAACTCAAATTCTCCTCTAGAAGGTTAATGATGGGTGTGAGTTTCCACACTTAGTGTGGAACTTGAAATTTCTCAAATGATTCTCAATCAGGCTAAGATGAGCGTGAGACTAAGGCTAAGCGTAGAGACTTAGGCAAAGATTTCTTCTCTCTTGAATCTTCACCAATTGTCACTTTGCTTCTCTCAATGTTTACCAACCTTCTTCTCAACTACAAAATAACAACAAAAAGATTGTAAGTAACCTACTAGTGTGAATTAAAGACTATAGTTAACTTTCTACAAATTTGTTATCATCATTGCTAAGTGTACCAAATCGTATAAGTAGTTTAATGAAAGTATGAGTATCGTCTCCCAAGGGACTTGTGCAACACTTCACAAATTCACTTGTTATACTAACTAAGCTACCAAAAAGCAAAAAGAATTTGATTTGTTACAGTAAATAATGTAAGCAAACAATATGAAATGTTATAAGAATTCATTTTGGTATTTTTGTAAATACTTAGGGTGCAAAACTTGATTCTAAAACAATATTGTAAATACTTAGGGTGCAAAACTTGATTCTAAAACAATATTAATAAATGTTGGGGTTTGACTTCATTAAACCTTCCTCTCATGTTTATCACTAAGCTCACAATAATCATCATTTAGAATTTATCAATCACTCTTAAAAATAACCAACCCTAATCCCTTACAAGTTGACATCTAAGTTACTAAATTAACCTATCAATTCCTTGCATAGTTTAACCAAGAAACCAGTTTTCAAAACCAGAGCTTAAGAAAGACTAATGGCGTTTACTTTATTCCTAGCAATAAACACCATTAGTTGCTTTATTTCCATTCAAAGGTTTAAAATCATTTTTCAATCTCTTAAAAACCTCAAGTTTAAGTTAACTGTGATCAAACCATAACAAGCATTATTGACAGAAAATAGAGCAATAAAACTGAATAACAACTAAGATTAATCACTTAAAGTTTACACATGAAAATGTGTTTAGTTATATCAAATGTAATATTCTAAATTTGTAATACAACATTATATATATATATATATATATATATATATATATATATATATTCTTAAAATAATATTTCTTTTAAATTTCAATTATCTTATTTAAAATAAATAAAATTGGTTATATTATTATTTTTTTAGAAAATAGTTATAATTCATATATATTTTTTTAGAATAATATTTTTAAGCATTAAATACATATATATATATATAAGTAAGTATATTTAAATACATACATATATATATATATATGACCTTATAGATATTTATAATAACATAACAAATTATTTAATATAAATTACATGTTTATTTAATAAACAATTATGTGAAAGTGGGGAGGACGGAAGGAAACGTGTATTGTGAACCCTATTACGTATGTGAGTATTATGTGAGTAATGAGTAAAAAAAAAAATGTGCAGTGGACTTATGCAGTTATGTGGCAGCAGATATATACATGTGCAGTAGGTTTATATATATATGCAGTGTGGCAGGGAATATATACATGTATAGTACGGATGAGGCAAAATAACGTAAGCCATTACGTTCACAGTTCAGAGCAGTAAATATAAGATAAGAGGGATAAGTATAAAACAAGCTGAAATCATTACGGGGATAAGAATTCTTCCCAAAGTAGTGAACTCAGTCAACTTCCATTTGCCTATAAATAGGCCTCAGTTTCACTAAAATTGTAAGAAGCACGAGGTAAAGAAAAACAAAAGAGAGAACGAGAGAAACCCCAACGTAAGAATAGAATCCTAATAAGTGTATACTTCAAGGTAAGGGGGAGGAGAACTTTATCTCT